CTCGTCTAGGGCTGGGGCTAGAGCATCGACAGACTCAACCAATCCATGCCCTAGTCCTAGCCCTAGACGAGGTCCGGCTCCGATCATGATGCATCCCGGCGGCTAGCATCCTATTGACGAGGTCCGGCTCCGATCATGATCCATCCGGGCGGCAAGCAAAGTAAGGTGCGAATAACACTGATCTACTATGATAGCATGATACGTGGGCACGCGCGTTATATACGCGCACGTTTGCCCACGCCCCTTTCATTTAGTACGCGGTGCCGTTCTTCCTACCTGATCCCCGCGTCAGACTCTCCGCTAGCTACTAGCGGGAGACCACTAAAGCATGCGCAGTTGGCTAAAGGTTTGCACTTGTAGTGCTTTTCACTCGGCTTTTCATCATACCATACATACTAGTATAATTATACTTCCAGCAGCTGCCGATGGACAGAAGAGGGAGCCACACGCACACGCTCAACGAGCCTCGCCTTCGCGCGCGCACGCCCAGAAACGCGCACTCGAAATTCTGCGATGTTATTGGTGTGACTAAATTAACTAGTAGGCGAATGCATGGCATTTTTGGCGAGCGGAAGCGAGATTTCAAATGGTGTGGAGCCCAAATTATCAGGGGTGAAGCCTACTGAGGGGTGGGCGACGTACCGACGACGTATACGGTGACATGCGCTGTTCGGCGACGCTCGACAACGTACGGTGACATTAATCGCGCCGTTCGGACTACTAGGTTAGCTCGCTTCCGCTCGCCAATTAGCCAGGATCGACCCGTCCGTCACAGGCATAAAATCGAGCGCAGGCACCGTCGATTCCATTATCAAACCGGCTTGAAACAGTCATTGCGAAGTAAAAACAGCCAGGTTCCAATAATGTTGCGCTCAGTCGCTTTAGTGGTCATCATCGGAACACTTGTTGGGTTATCTGAGAGCAAAATCCACCCTCGCTCAGCCTACAGAGAAGTAGCCAAAAAGCTCGAAATTCACAGACGCCAAACACCCGAGCAAGATGCCTGCGTGGACGCCAAACTCGAAGAGAAGCTAAACAAAAACTCTACTTGCATCCAACGCGTAGCCGACTTAGAGTCCGTGGTCGATGCCATACTTGAAGACACGGAGGACGATCAGTCGGCCGTGAATCTCGCCTTTCAAATCTTATGCTTGCCCGAGTGCGGACCCATATTTCTGGAGGCGGAAGACGAATGCGGATTGTACGACGATTCGCCGGGATCGCGCAACTTTTTTGTCGGGCTCTGCGGCAACAACGAAGGAACTTCGTGTTATGAATACTTTTATAGAGCTCTTCGGTTCTCAGCGGACGTATCCGTCTCATGCTACATTAACGTCAGCCTCGGATCTTCGTGCACATGTAAATCCGAGCTTGCATCGGAAGTGGAGGTGCAGGGCTGCTGCATCAATGTCTACCAAGATTTTTTTCAAGCTGTTGTAGAAGAGGGATCTGGTGATACCAAGTATGAGCCAAACATATTGTACGGATCCTGTGACGTCCGCCAGCCAAATGACTGCAATAATAGTCCCTTGCAAAGTAGCTCAGTTCGTCTCGAATACACCATTCTTGCCGTAGCAGCAGCTTTTCTGCTAGCTCTCTTTGGCTGATTGATCGAAAAATGAACACTGATGTTTAGTTTAATATGTACGTAGCTACACCTACTTAGCAATTATACTTTGTGGCGAAGACTATTGTAGCTAGTGATACTATATTATTGGTCTCTTTTGTTCTGGAGCATTAAATTTTGACGTTCTGGCGCTCCGAACCCAGGATCGTTACCTTGGGGAGAGAGCGGGGCAATGCATGCCCACGACAATGGATAAGCATTGTGGGATACGTAGCTTTTCCTGCCAGCCTTCTCGTTCTCGAACACAGTCGTTTGAGGAAAATCGTCTACTATTTTCAGTTTCGCATAGTAATTGGTATCGCTCATTGGCCGCCATAATAATTCTATTGAACAAACTTCTCCTTGTTCTTATTTGCCTTGCCAAAACTCAATTTTGGTACACCCTCCGGTGCTTTTACTGCAGGTATTGCTATAAAGGGCCATATGTGGAGGAAAAAAGTCGAAAAATCGGGTAGCGCTTTTATAACGGAGAAGGACCCACCGTGCGAGCGACTTTGGGGGCGTGTCAACGCCAGACATGTAACGGAGCGCGTATGTTCAGCCGTGTCTCGGATCTCGAAGGTCTGACTCCTCCCGGGTACAAAAGTAGCTATATCTCCAGAATGGAGCAGGCTATCCGCACCAAATTTTGAACGAGCACGGCAAAACGGTAGACATCGCGGAACCCGGTGAAACCTAAAAATAATTTCCTGACTTATACCGCTTTTTCGCGTGGACTGTCACATACGGAGTAGTGGGGTTATAAAACCTGAACACCTTTCCCCAATAACCGGGCCATCTACCGACTGAGGAGACTCACTAACAAGCAAGCAACCAATAATCGCTTATTGTGTACAAACTGCAAACCCTCGGCGAACTGCGCATGTGCAGTACTGCTAATTGATGGGCTGGGCTATTTCGTGGTGGTCTCCCGCTAGTATAGCTTGCGGAGAGTCTGACACGGGCTAGCTACAGCATGCGGGAGTCGATACACGCCCTTCGTTGTAACTTTTTGTGCCTTCATGATATATACACAGAGCAAGCGGGCCCGGTCCAATTAGCATAATATAACTGCATGCGCATTTTCTGCGGCGATAAAATGGCCGACTACGACAACGCTGGAAACGCTCTAGCTTTGCAACGGAGCATTTTCAGAGAAAACCGTTCTAAATTTCTGACCTTCATTGCCCGGTAGGTCGTATCGTTTTTGAGACGAAAGAACATTCGAGAAGTGAGATGTAGAGTAACACACACAGACAGTACCCTCGCTGCGCATGCGCGCCGAGGGTAACAATAGAGGCTAGGCTAAGTGGGTACTAACTTAGGTAATCCTTGGAAAAATGGAGGTGTGGCAGTTGTCTCCCACCGAATCATCAATGACCACCACGCCCCTTATTGTTTTGGAAGTCGCTTAGGACGAAATGTCACCCCATGCTCAATTTCATAGAAAAGTACATTACCCTCGCTGCACATGCATCATTTCAATGCTTATTGTGATCAGCAAACAATGGAGAAAAACAATAGCTATGGTTCAACATAGTACATAACAAAATGGGTTAAGTATACAGCAGTGGTGACTGTAGTATGTAGTATCATTACTACACTATGTAAATAAAGCTTATAATATCTAATGACATTCATACATTAATTGTCACACATGTGCACAGCTGGAAAGCTAGCTGCACAGCTAGCTGCACACAAGCAAGGAGCACACTGGCTAGTGTGTAAGAAACAACTGACATTGTGCAAAATTTGGACGCTTGTTATCTCGCTCCTGCTCACCAATAAAAAGGAACAAACAACGCAAACAAAACAGACAAAAAACACAAACAATAATTAAAAAGGGTTGGGCCACGCAACTCGGTCTGTGACCGTGACAGTTTTGCATCGAATGCAGTCGTTTCAGCAAAATTGCTCTTTAGTTTTCAGGCTCGCGTTAGTTTCTGCTGCAGCCGTTGGTATGTAGTGCGAGAATAGCTGCTGATAGATGGACAAAACAGACACACAGACGGACCACCACACACAGAATGTAACCCTCGCTGCACTTGCGCGCAGACGGTTAGTTCGTAATGTATATGCCCACCTGGGGTTCATAGCATCGCATATCAAGTTGATGCCGATTATTGGTGCACTTACACTATTAGCATTAAGTCAACAGCTGTATAATTCTAGACAAGGTATAGGGATGCCTGCGGAAGAACTTGTCAACACACCCACATTGACTACCACATGCTATGACTAAAGTTGGATTGAACGTACGAAAAAAAAGGCATTCCTTCTGAAGTCTGGTTGTTTGTGCGTACTAGAATATAATGTACAATATACTATTGAGAATGTGAAAAGAAGAAAGGCATATTGCACATAAAGTCACTATTTCCTGTTCAGCAGTGTAGATCAGATGGTCTTTCTGTGAGGTCCCCTGGCACATGCACAGGGTACAGCAACCAGAAGAACCAGCATATAACCAGGAGAACCATAGAGGCAGTAGTAGGAGCCAGAGTAGGGAGAGACCGACACTGACACAGGAGATGGTATAGTACGAGGCCAGGGGGCGGAGGTTGAAACGAGGACTGGCGGTGGAAAGGGAGGGAGAGTGAGGAGTAGTGAGGACACGTGTGACTTTGCTCTTTGGAGTACGAGGAATGTTACTATGGGGAGAGAGAGAGTGGGGATGTATACAATGGACGCCACACACAGCTTAAATGAATTGCACGTGCGTAATAACTTAGCAAATCCATGTGGTGAGGAATTACGCACAACGCAGAAGGGTGAGGCAAGTATGTGTAATTCGGGGTACACGGAGAAAGTGCATGTTCTATATACAGGTGGGGTGCAAGTGTGTACGCAATGTGTAGCTGTAAAATGCAAGCAAAATGTGGGAGTATTAAGGTAACTATGAGTTCTGCATGAGAAATGTCACTGTAAGATAAGATTAATCTCCTGGAAAATGTGAGTAACAATGTAAACTGTTGTTTTAAACTTGAGGGCGAGCATGTTTTAGGGAGGGATTCAGAGTAAGGAGAGTGTAGCTAATTACGGTTGCTGATGTGTCATTGTGTGCAAGTGCATTATGTGTCCTTGTGCCATGCAGCATAATGGATGTGAACTCATGATCATGTGGGTTAATGTGCTCCATATCGAAACATTATACATCTGGCAACAAGGTGGATCGTAGTCCATGGGGAATCAATTTCCAACAGTTGGAGTATGGAGTGGTAACATCTCGACTAAAATTCGCAATCCCCTGAAATAAGGGTGTCAACAACTTTGAATTTTTCGTAGGAACAAGTGTGGATAAAAAGCAAACCAAATTATAGACATTCTTGATACTTTTCCTACAGTTGGAGTATGGAATGGTTACATCTTCAATCTCACTGCACTTATCTCTATCTCGCCCAAATCTGGCTATCCTCTGAAAAAGAGGATCAATTTTTGGAAGGCACAGCAACGAGGCCTTTAGGAAATAATAAGCAATGAAGGCACAGTCACCTGTGATAGGGAAAGTGGATGCATTACTGTGATCTCAAGGTGGGAGGTTGGAAGTGCCATCGTTGTGGAAGCTCAGGGCACCACGGAAGAAACTGCCTTTTAAACATAATCTCTCATCCAGTGGGCAACAAAACCACATAGGCGGTGTGCTGGGCTGCCAGAGGCATGGATCCCAGAGCAGCCAGCTGCTTATCAGATGGGAGGTCACAATAGCCAAGATGACCTGATAGGCTCAGAAATTCTGGGGGTAAGGGAGTGGTCAAGCCTTACATACAACAGTACTGGAGGTACGGGAGAAGCCCCTCAATATGAGTAGTAGACAAAGGAACTGTTACCTGATATAGGACAAGGTGACAGGCTGTAGGAAGGTACATTCTTCATCTTGTACGTGCACACTTTGTGTACGCACATGTACTGTGTGTGACCCCAGTACATTATTTTGGGAGTGAACCTATTGTGGTGTACCAGAGTATCATTGCAGACTCAAGGTACATGCCATTTCCCAGGTGAGGGGAGGAAAAGCTGGAGAATAGGCAAGGTGCAATCTCTGTGTATGTCATGACTGTACATATTTACCTTCTGTACCTATGAAAACACAAAATGTTTTTCACATAAAAGTAGTGTGCTATGCTACATTGTTCGCAAAACTTTTCTGCGAAGATTTGCGTGGTGTTAGTTACCAGGAACACAATAAGCCCTGAGATAACAGCAACACATTTTGGATGAGTGAAGCTAGCAGTTTAGGACCAAAACTAGCTTATTCTTCCTCCAAGAAAAACACTTGGATGAATGTTTTGGCTTCGAATTAAAAGCACATAGCATGCAGGAGTTGATACACACCATCTGTTGTAACTTCTAACTACACATAGAGTAGGCGGATCAGGACCAGAGTAGCTGTTAACATACAGACAGACACACACACACACACACCACAGACCGAGTACTCGCTGCACATGACCGCCGAGCGTTTTACTAGTACAAATTCAACCCTAAATTGTGGTGGGAATGTGAGTAACCTATGCAACTGTGGGGCTATAGAGGGAGGTGGAGGTGAATGAGGCACAATACATGAATTACGGTACCAAGTATAGCTATACCTGGTGCTGGGTGAGTGAGTGAAGGGAGGAGAGAGAGGTGGAGAGAGAAACTGTTTAGCCACACCACTCAAGAAACTATTGCTGACACCAATAGATTGCAGCTGCCTGGCAAACTGGGGGAAAATAACACCAGACAAGTACCAGGCCAAACATGTTTATGCCAATTAACAATGAAAGTGAATGAGATATTATTGATATTTGGCATAATTATGTTACCCCAGCAAGGGCGTATTATAGGGTTATTGGCCAGTCACTCCCTAATCAACACCCACTTTGCTTTCCTTATGGGGAATTCTGGCATTGCGCTGAAGAAACATGCTGCATGCTCATAGAGTATACTTGCCATCATCAAACCTATATGCAAAAACACACTATCTGCATCTGTTCTAACCAACTGTGTGTTGTACATACACAGCAAGGCTCTGTGTAGAATAAAGGGTGGGTCTGAGGTGCGCAATCATAATATTATTACAATACTGCATAGTTCCTGAACTATATGAAAGGGGAGGGGGGAGAGTCTCATACACCTTCCCCTATGTAAAAAAACCTGCACATGTACTGTACAAGTGGATTAGGGAGGGAAAAGAGTGGAGCACAAACGACAGAGGACTGAAGATACGAAACTCTCACAGCCTCACCCGCTCGTTCAGGTAGAGGGAGCAGCTGTGCAAGACTCTGACAAGAGTGGTGTTCTCATATGACCTGACTGGCTGGAGGAGAGGGTCTCCCAGGTACGGCACTTTCAGGTTGGAACTCTTACGGGATCCCTGGATCAGCTACACATATACATAAATATTGTAGCAGAGTAGAGACTCACATGGTATGTAGACTTGTGTGCATTATATACAAATATTATATTACAATTATTATATTATGAAAAGCACTAAAGTGCAAACCCTCGGCGAACTGCGCATGCGCGGTACCGCTAATTGATGGGCTGGGCCTATTATACTAGTATACGTTTACTCCCGCTTAGCTCGCGGAGAGTCTGAAACGGGCTAGCTACAGTAGTAGATAGCATGCGGGAGTCGATACACGCCCTTCGTTGTGACTTCTTGTGCCTCCGAGGTACACAGAGCAAGCAGATCAGGTCGAGGTAAGCTAGTTCTAATTAGCATATTGGATTGTTCACTTGGTTTTCATGCCATAACTTCTGAACGCGGCACTTTTACGAAAATCACCATTTTAAAAATCAAGCCAGTGTAGCGCTGAACCCGTTGGTGTCGCTATTTTACCTGTTTGTTGCGCGTGGTGGCAGAAAACGTGGTAACAGACGGACAGACAGACGGACAAACCAAGTACTATAACCCTCGCTGTGCATGCGCGCCGAGGGTTAACAAGATGGCATTGGTGGTCTGCTGGTTGTAGACAGTGGGAAGTTTCTATTGGGAATGAGGAAGAAGCCCTAATGGGAAGTTTCTATTGGGAACCAGCTGGTTTATCAAAACTCAAGCCATGAGTAACCTTCAACCTGTAACTTTATCACAGTGGCCCTTGGCAAAAACCAAAACTTGGCCATCCCTTGAGTCAATATCTAAATGAAACCCTGATTGGGAACCAGCTGGTCTATAAAACTCAAGCCATGAGTGTGTAACC